CCCACAGATTGCGAGTCGAGCGCCCTAACCACCTGGCCATGCCGGGCCTTCATATGTATAAAGACTAAACTGTAACAAAGGTAGTATATGAATAGATCATATTTACATCATAACCATCTAATAAAAAAGTTAATCAACGTTATAATCAAAATACATTATTCCTATGTTAATCAATATGACATAATCAATCCGTTATGTTATTGCAGCTTCTAATGGACTCAAAGAAAAAGATCTATCGCACCATCTGGTGAACTAAAAAACCTATTAGACCTTCTGGTGAACATATAAGAAACTACTAACAAATTAGTGGACTCTTTATGAACTAAACTGTCTCTTTACACACCTAAGATTTCATAACTCCTTTATGGATCCCTACTGGGCAACATATTTTCATCTGTAGCCTTTTACTACTGATGAATTGACTTTGAGTTTCCACGTTTTATGTATTCTATTTACTTCACTCACATCGTTTTGGTTTCATTTTTTTGTTCTTCTATTTCTTCCCTTATAGTACTCTCTCCTTTAACTCACAGCTTTCTAATTTGTTTTTATTATAACGATAATAAACATATTTGACAAAATACTATATATAACAAAACAAACACTCAAAAGATATAAAATTCGAACTTAAATATATATGCAGAGTTGAAGCAATTATATGCACAAGTCCTTTTTTATATGCTTTATGAACTTTCACATGCTTTACTTACATAGAGTTTTCTATTACTTTTGACCAGGAAGATTATATTAAAATGGTTTTCTTACGTTTTTGGCCATGTGTTGCATCACAAAGTCGAGATCCGTCTGGGAGCTCCAAGAAGTCTTTGTCACAGCGACTCCAACCTCCTTCCAAATCGAACTCCAGAAACTCCATCTCCACCTGACAGATGCGTGGATCAGTACGGTGGATAGTGTATACACATTTTTCGTTCGGCCCGTAACCACCAGGGAAACCTGGTGTTCGTATTCTATCTGTAAACTTCGCAATGTGCTGATCACAATAGCGCCCTCCTGTTGAAAAGATGAAGGAATAATTCTAAAAATATATAATTTCACGACAACAGACAAAAAGAGTGACCAGTTTCATATAAAGCTATCTTTGCATCTACAAGAAACGACGACAAAAGGACTAATTACGTGATGTACTGCATTTTTATATAACTTGGCTAGTAAAAGCTAGGCCTTTAACATCATTAAAGAGCTAGAAAGATTATTTTTGGTTAGTTGGTTAGGATTTACAAGACGAGTTAAAAGAATTGCATTTTAGAAGAATAATCGTGAATTGACGTGACTATTAATCTATCACATAGGTCAGAGGGTGAGAAGGATTATAACGGATAGTATAGTTATGATTGTACCATATGGTGTATTATAGTGTATATTATAGCTATGCTTTATAATATGGGCCAGAAGGTTAAAATATTGTAGTGGATAACATAGCTATAACTTTGACATTTGAGTCAGATGGTGAGAAGGATTATACTGAATAATACAGCTATGACTTTATCAGATTAATTGGAGGTTTAGAAAGATTATAGTAGATATTCTAGCTATGACTATAATATGAGTCAGAAAATTAAAAGATTATAGTGGATATTCTAGCTATGACTCTATAATATGAGTCAGAAAGTTAAAAGATTCTAGTGGATAATGTAGCTATGAATTTAAAGTGTGAATCAGGAAGCTAGAAAGTTATAGTGAATCATATCACTATACATATGCACCTGAGTTTTAGAAGGATTATAATGGACACTATAGCTATGATTTTTTTTGTACGGATCATATGATAAAAAGAATTAAAGTGGAAAATATAAATTCAACTTTATAATACGAATCAGGGGGTTGGAAGGATTAGAACGGAAAACATAGATATGACTTTTAATATAAATCAGGGGATTAAAAGGATTAGAACGGAAAACATAGATATGACTTTTAATATAAATCAGGGGATTAAAAGGATTAGAACGGAAAACATAGATATGACTTTTAATATAAATCAGGGGATTAAAAGGATTAGAACGGAAAATATAGACATGACTTTTAATATAAATCAGGGGATTAAAAGGATTAGAATGGAAAATATAGACATGACTTTATAATATGGTTGGAAAGGTAGAACTACAACAGCTATAATACATGGTTTTACGGATTTTTATTGGAATAACATAAATGTTCGCAGTGTCAGAGCATTACAAATCTACAAACTTCCTAATAAATAATACCTACCATAAATAATATGGCAGCGTTTATGTCAACATAAGGTACAATAAATTAGGAATTACTGTGTAAAATATATAACTTGTTCCACTGCTGTATAAATATTTATTTCAATAATTATTCAACTGTTAAAAAAAACGTGAAATAGTTATTTTTTAGTCTAGTGATGCATCTAGGGCTACTTAACAAGGTTCATAATTTTATGCTTGTGATTGTATGTGGTATCTTATGTAGTGGTCAGGCTAAATCGGTACGGTTTTGTGTTGTTCCGTATTGACAGAAGTAAATTTATATTTATATATGTATTCCATACCTCGTGCAGTGTTCAAGTTAAAACGGTACCTTTCTGTGTTGTTCCATATTTCCAGCGACAAATTTATACTGAGTCTAGCGAAATCGTGGGCCTATGGCTTACATTTACAGGGCTGCTATAATGTAAATTTAATTCTCTTTAACCAACTTTATTAACGGTAATTAGTAGGCCTACTTATTTACGTGCTCTAATGTAAATCAATGCGAAATTTGGGGTCCACTTTCAGAGAATCCCCGTAAAAGCGTTTTTGCAAAATATCCAGGTTTTATAAGGGATTGGGTGAAAAGCTTTACCTTTGTGCAAACCTCGGGGCCGAGACGATTCGTTTGGTACCATTTAGAAGTTGGTGAGTCCAGCAGTTTAGGAGGAGTTACGTGACACACACACACAGACACAGGCACTGAATCTTATGATATAGATTGTCACATATAAAAGACTGTTTAATGTAAGTATTATTAATTTATTTATTTTGTGGGTGAATATATCATGATTGTTCAGTTTTTTCATAATAATAGAATTAAAAGCAAATATTTTAAAGTAAACGTTACAAGTTTAGTCACGTAACTCGGTAAGAATCGTACGTTGTGTTTATAATTCATTGATGTTGAGGCTATCGAATGTCGCGTGAAATTTATTGTTGTCGAGGATATAGATGTTTCTAGAAGGCGAGCAGGCGATTAAGTGATAAGTATATAACTTGTGTGAGACGAGTGGGAACAGCAAACAGACATAGCAGACTAATATCGCAACACAGTAACTTAGTGCCAAAAAAGATAGTTAGTTCAGAAATAGCTTTTAACATATGCTTGTCAGAAATGGTTTGGAAAAAAACAATTCAAAAGACTGGACTTTGTTGCAGAATTCATTATAGATGTATAAATAGTTTCTGACAGCTAAACTATGACTTCTAAAAAATGTTAACGTTATCTGGTTTCTGTAAATAATAATAATATTTATCTTTCTCACTTGTTGGTGGTGAAATTTCTCGGTCGGAACAAGAGTTGGGTATTTGTTTCACTTGTATCATGAATCCTTTACGATGATTCTCACCATCACTTTTGAATCGCAGTGTCAAGCTTCTCTTCCCTGGTAAAAACCTCAGTTTTTCTGAAAAGTACCATAGCATTATTCCAGTTTGTTTTTATTGCGATATTAGTTTTAATTCTTCTTGCTAAAACGCACGTTTTATTAACTGTTTCAAATCACGTAGAGTATTAAATTCACTGTGAAACACAAAATAAACGCGCGTTCGTATCATTTATTACTTTAATAATTAAATAAATCATTGCGTCTGTGATCTGTACCTAAAACAAATGCAAAAAAACGAACTTAATTTTTCATAATATTGGGCCAATAAAACTAAACTAAATTTTAGCTAAATCCTGTATGTTTTCTTATATCTGTAATGTTTTGGTATCTGTACACATTCTTGCATACATATAAAGCAAATATGAACGCAGTAAAAGAAATTCATCCTGACATAGTGCATACAGAATATTTGATTTAATTATCCGTGTTATGAATCAATAGTGAAAGATTAAAAATGTTTTCATTTTATATAGAAAAAAAATTCAAATTCAAAAACATTATTTTATATTTTTATACAGTTGGTTGGATCTTTAGTAAATTTTACTGGCTAATATAAACTCTTTTATTCAATCAAAACTGGTACAATATAAGGTAAACGTACCAGTAATAAACAATCCTCTAGAAACAATACTATATAAGTAGTACTGTATAAACACTCTTGTATAAATGATATATAAACAATCCTTTATAAATAATAGTATATAAACAGTATTGTATAATATCCTATATAAATAATGCTCTATAACGATCCTGTATAAACAACACCGTATAATCAATCCTCCATAAACAATGTTATACAAACAATACTGTATGAAAAATCCTGTATAATTCACTAACCGAAGTTTCATTTCCATAAAGGGTTTCGCATATTCTATGCAAAATGTAAAAGCGTTTTGGAAAAAAAGTTTACCGAACAAATATTATTAAATATTACGAAACCAGATTTTGAGAGTTGTTATTTTCACTTATTTTATATAATTTAGTTTTGACTACTTTGTTTGTATTCTTATTCAATGAAACGTCTTCGAAACTGCATACTTAAACGAATGTATTTATATTGTTGCG